TTATCAACAGATTTATTGTTACTAATCAATTAGAAATGCATGCAAGGCAATAATACGTACCACACATTTAAAGGGAATGCGCGTACACCCTTCCTCATCAACATATTTTTTGGCACTAAATTTAAAAATTAAGTCTTCGCAGAGAAACACAATTTATCATGGATCACTTAAGTGCTGCCGTATAAAAAAGTGAATTGGTAGTAGCTTCAATCTTTGTTATTAATTTCACATCAAAACGGTATTTAATGCTATTATATCAAAATTGTTTTTGAAATAATGTTTTACATGCTCAAAAAATATATAAGAAAATATAACTCACTAAATAAGAAATATTCAAAACTGTTCTTTTTATTTAATTAAAATATTTGCTTCTACAAAAGTTTGTTGCCAAACATTATAAATTGAAATACTATAAAATTCATATGAAAAAAGCAACAAAAATTAATTTACTGAATATATATTACATGATTAAGTAAACTAAGCTGATTTAAATTAATTGATTTAAATTATTATATATTAATTTATATATTTATTTATCATATATTATTTGTTACAATATATATTTTGTTTACGTAATGTGATATTATTAACCAAATAAGGAAGCATAAGTTTTTTATATTACTAAAAAGTTAACATATGATTAGCAAGTAGCAGCAAATTATTATACTGCAACCCTAAAAAGAGAGCAATTTGATGTTACCGTGGTAAGATCACATGTATTTAATACGTGTGCCGAAATGTTATAAAAAATAAGTTTTCAAAAACAATTTCAAATGCACTCTCACGAAGTGGGCGGAGTTTCCGTTCTTGTAAAGATATTCTTTGTATATAAACACGGTTGCCACTTGAAAATTTTTTTCTGTACCAAAATTGGTTTAAAAAGGTACCATTTCTGTAAAAAAAGGTCCAAAATTTTTCTATTGTCTTTTTATAAGAAAATACAATTTATATAAAATGTACAAAAAGTATAAAACAATACAATATCCACAATAAAGTTGGGTCGCCGAAAATGTACCATTTTTTGAACATGAGTACCAGAGTACCAAACGGAAAAAAAAGTACCAATTTTGGTACTAAAGTACCATAAGTGGTAACCGTGTATATAAATATCTGAAGTTTAATATTTTGAACATTTTCAATTAACTCACACTGCATATGTTCATCCCTTTCTAATTCTATTATACACTTCAATTTTTTTGTTATACACTAACACTTAAATGAACTGAAACAAAGTAACTATTGTTTTAATATATCTTTCTCACTCAACAAATAAAAAAAACAGAAATTTCCACCACTGCTTGCACATTTCTTCTGCTGCAAGTTTCGACACATTCAATAATCTAGCAGAACTTCGATTTGCAAAAAGACAATTGAGCTACTTTTATTAAAATACAAAATAAGATCTCAATTTCATTAAGATTTACTTCACTTGAAAATTTTATGTTTCAAGTTTCATAAAATTTGTTAAAATCATTTATAAATATTTATATTTATCTATTTAAAATTTATTAATTTCGTTGCAATTCACAAATATGTACCAATAACATACATTTTTATTTTGAAATTAAAAACCGATTTATAAACCGGCTTAAATTTTTGGTTAGTTAAGTTAATAAGAATTATATACATAATAGGCCTTTTCTTTTGTAAGCATATCACAAAAGAACAACTGCGTATTTTAAAAATAACATATAAAACAACACTAGGCCTTTTCTCTTGTAAGCATATCACAAAAGAACAACCGCTTATTTTAAAAACAACATATGAAACAACAACACTGCTAGCTTATTTAGTCCAACCTTTTTGAAATTGCTTAACTAATAAGCAACCCAATTCACATGCTTGCCAAGACTAAAAATTCGTCTATTGTGAACGATTTTTGGAAGTACATACGAAATTTCCAGTTACCTGTCAACAAATGATTTCGTTAATTATTCGTATTTCGTGTCGTCATTGTTCGTAACAAATTCGTTATACTGTTATAATTTGCTTAATTATTTAAGCAAATTTAGATAAATACATAAATGAATTATAGAGAGGTAATGAAAAATACTGAACTGCTATAACAAAAATTCTTTTTATAGCCGTTTTCTTCTTTCAGAGTAGCAAAAAAATGCGAAAGAAAACATGGGAAATAGCAACAAAGCTTTTAAAATCTTTAGAGTTAGATTTTACTCGCAAAAAATTTTATGTCTTAAGTTTTAGTACAACCAAATTGAAAAATAAATCTTTTGTGAATGTTCACTGGAAATATCTTGCAAAACTCCATTCATGTGTTAAAATCATATGACCAGATGAAGTGATAAACAATAATCCAGTCAAGGCATAGAGAGGGATTATGAAGAAACCACGCAGACATAATGTTTGAACCAGGCATCTTGGTACAAAAGGAAGGTCTAGTACTTGTTATAATCCGAGGTGCAGCTGCTACACATCCCCAAATATCTCCCAAGAGAGATTTGAAGAGTTTCTTGATAGGCTATCAGGAACAGTCAGAAACAAAACTCCCATCATTCTTGCAGGAGATTTCAATGATTGGACAGTCAAATGGAGCAGTGCTCTTGCTACGCGCCGAAGTAGAGCTCTATTACATACGTTCATCTCAGTAAACCCAACACAACTGAACAATAAGCATACCCTACGTGCGATAATGGTAGAGGCGTATCCTACATAGGTCTCACCTATGTCATTAGTAAGGTGTTCTCAATGGAAAGTAACAATCCATTACACCCACAGCGACAACCATGCCATTTGCTTTTCTATATCGTGCAAATAGACCTTGAAGGCCAGAAACAGTTTTTTCCTGTATTCTCGTCTACGAATGACCGAAATTGAGCAATTTCTTTTTTTTTTTACAGTAGGTGGATCAAAAGCCACCGTGTGAGACTTGAACCCACTAAACCACCTCTTAGGAATGAATGGAGAAGAGTTCCACAGCATTGTGCATTGTGGTGTGGTTAGAGCAGATGAGCGCGGGCGAGGTTAGCGGTAAACTTTCTGACTGGGGTCACGAAAGCCGCGGTTATATGAGGAATGGAATTGAGGTTACAGTCCCACTCATCGAGGTAGTGGGTAGTGAGATTGCAGACCAAATGGGGAAGGCGTAGGTGAGTAGATGGCGAATAAGTTGCTTATAGCAGAGCAGCTTAACTTTGCAACTAAGCTGATTGTGTCTTCGGAGTGCGTTTTTGAGCTGAATATGTCTAAACCGGACGTTATGGATGGCGTAATCAACGGACATGCAAATGATACAAGCCATTTGTATCTTTAGGAGATTTTTCCTCCAGGTAAAAATTAAAATTCAACATTATAATGAAATACACAAATAAATTAATTAATTTAAATATATAAGATAAAAAACCTATCATTGCCCTTCGAATATTCATTTTGTTTTCTTTTATTTAGATTCATTAATTTTTAGTGTTAACGATTTTTATATTTCATATTGTAAACAGCACAACAAAAAGCATATGTCAAAAATATGCATTTAATATATTTTGAAAATGATGCCATTTGTTTTAATTAGACTTAATATAGTTCTTTTACAACTCTAAATTTTAATCATTTGAAATTTTGGCTGACCATACAACTGTTTCAAGTATTTTCAAATACTCATTCTCAGTGGTCTTGGAAATAATTCTTGCATTTATTTATTTGTAAATAATGTTTTGAGACTGCAAGTACTAAAGGTGGACTTGTTCCATGCCTAATTTGAAGCTCAAAGTTAATATTCATTAGCAAACTTGAGTTGTATATGCGTACTTAGAGTTTTTTTTTGTTAATTTACTGTGAAATTTTGACAAATTCACGGAATCAGCTGTAGAATAATTGAATTAATTAATTATGTTTTTATATATAATAGTTAAATTTCAAACCTATTCTGTGAATAAATACTAATATTTTGCTCTACTATAACTTTTTGACAATAGTACTTAATATATATGAACTATAGGCGTTTTCGGTGACTCGCAAGTATGGTAAAAAACAGCAAGTTGCTGGCCTATACTGGCCGAAATGTAAACAAAATAACCCAATTTTTCCAATTTATGCCAGTAATTGTATGCTAGCCACACACTTCGACCAGTAAAGAAAAAACTGTTACCAACACAGCGCATTATTGTGAACCTTCATTGGAAATTCCAATGAATATTCTAATCACATGTCAAAAATCATATGTAAACAAAAATTCAAACAAAAAAAAATAATTTCATAGATTTGAAAATTAGGAAAATAGAAAAAATTTCACATTTTTATTTTGAAATTCCCAATATTTTTACCATTCCTTTAAATTCTGTATTCATTTTAATTTTCAATTTTATATTAATTATTTATTTTTACACAAAATGTAATTTACTTGCATTATGTGCACATATGCTATTTGCCAAAACATAACACTTGACAGATTGCAACAATGATACCAACGTCTCGTTTAGCGAATATAGGCCAGCATGCATTTTATGCCACACTTGAGAGCCACCAAAAACGCATTATGTAATTTTATTTTATCTTCAAATAAGAATTGGGTTTTCAGTCCGAAAAGCATAGTAATAATTAAAATCTGTAGACTATAAAAACAACGGGCTATTAGTCCCTTACGATTTATATACATATATATATATATATGGAACTCTTTAAAGATTTTTCTAATTTTTTTGTCTTACTATCAGGGTTACAAATCATGAATATATGTTTTACTTAAATATTTTGTATTCAATTAATATGATATAATTAATATATTAATATATAATTAATTATTATAATTAATATATAATAATTAATTAATATATAATAAGGACAGTATATAACAATATTTAACAAATTTTTATATTCGATTTTTAATTTAATATGATTAATATGAATATATAATACGAGTACAATTTTATTATTTTGATGGACATTGTTCATAACAGAGTTTTGTTGCTCTGTGTAAATGTAATTTTCATTTCATTTGAAAAAAAGTATGTCTATTGAAAATATTTGGCAAGGGAGTGTCGCTTTATTTAACTTTCTGATTTGCTGCAGTAGAGTGAGTGCTTGCCATTTTGTTATCACATTAAACTGGCGTAAAATTATTCTGTATCTAAAAGTTCTGGGGATAACTATAACATAAAAGTATAACATAATTTTCTTCTTAATATTTTCAACTATTTAAACTTAAGAGTTTGCCGAAAACGTATATTGGGCATAAAGCAGATTTCTTTACTTTGTTTTACGCGTGGTGGTATTAGTGTTAGTGAAAAAATAAAATAAGAGAAGAAGCAAGTGGTGTAAAAAATGAATATTATTGCTGGTGAACCAGTGCCTCCAGGGTTTGAGGATGAGGTAAACCGTATACCTGAGATTCAACCGGCAATTGACCAATATAAAGGAAATGCACTAATAGGTTTGGAATATACGGTGGAGCTGTATGAAGAAGACCGCGAGCCAGGCTATATATGCTTATTATGCGATAAGCGTGCTGATCCTCGCAGTGTGATGCAGCATTGGACTTCTTTTAATCACCGTGTTAAATATTTAGAAAAACACTTTCCCACAGCTATTCGAGAGAGTAATTCAGTTAAATATAAACCAAATTCGCATAATATTATGATAATAATTGTGCAAAACTTGGCAGAAGCAATAGAGGATTGTCATGGGAGATCAAGTCTTTCAGTGTATCATGTTGATGATTTTCGTCGAATGAAAAGTAAAATTATTAAAGACGTTAATGCTAAACATCATTTTGATGACCGTATGGGACCCAATTTTTTGAATATAATTGATCGTACATTAGCTGATAGTAATGGTCCTAATAAAAAAATGGAAAAAACCATTCAAATCACACTGAAGGCACAAAAGCGAACATCGGTCGACCGACCATTGCAAAGTTCAAGTAAACAAGATTTGGATGAAATATCAAGCGATTCAGATACTGCTGAGACTCCGAAAAAATCAAAAAAGCATGAACAGACACCAGCTTATCGAGTTTTACCAAGAGTACGACGTTCCCCACCATTTGAAGAGGAACGTAAAAAAAGTTCGGAAAAAATGTTACCAACACCGAGAGAATTATCTTTGCAAGCATCACATATTGCGCAGGAGCGTTATAAACTTGAAAAATTTTTGTGTATTTATGGAATGAAGTTTAAACAATTGAAAGCTAAGCAAGATGAGTACGATAAAAATCCTGACAAACATCCATGCTATGAAGAAGAATGGAATAAATTTTGGAATCGTCGACGTAGTGAATTGCAGGCAAAAAAAAATGTTGATCCAAATACATATGATTATAACTCTGAATGGTTAGTATTTTGGACACAACGTGCCAAGGAGCTTTTTCAAGACGATGTAGAAAGGTTGAAAAAAGATATTAAAATTCAATTAGGTATACCAGAGGATAGCGAAGAAAAGGTTGATTTATTAAAGAAAAAATACAAAGTACATGTTTCTAATAATGGAGCCCTACCCTCAAGCAAAGCTCATAAAAGCGAAACGAAATATCCGGAACGTATAGCAGATGTTATTGATATAAGTGATGATGAAGATTCACCTATTCGATCCAATTCACGTTCAAAATCTCGCCATACAATATCTTTGTCGCCTAGTCCACGACGCGAATATCGAAAAAAATCTAGGGACTCGCTTAGTCCAATTGAGAACGATCGTTACTTTAGTAGAAAACATACCTCTAGAGCTTACCCTAATAATGAGGGGGATTATTACACTACATCAAGTTACTCGCACTCTCGTTTTTCCAGTTCTCATCATTATCCACCGCATGCAACAACATCATACCGTGTAATGGACTCACACCAATATTCTAAACTAACAAGTGAAGCAAGCTTAAGTCCAACTTCAAAAACGTCTGCCTCAAAGGAGGAAAAAGAGCCTGAAGAGGATGTTGGTACATTAACTGTGGTTGCTGTGTTACGTTTACTGACCGCTCTTGAAGATCATTTGGGAAGTTTAGGTCCAAAAGTTGTTGATTTGTTAGGCAAAGCTCTTGCTTTGGAAAAGGTTAAAGCCAATTCTGCTGATGACCTTTTGATGAATGATGATCATTGCGTATTCTTTGAAACTATCAAGGAAAAACTGAAAGGGCTACTTATTGCCGATGTGATTGAAGATCACCAAAAGATTCGTGCAGTAAAAAAAGCTATAAAAAATATCGCTGCCATTATTCATCAAGTAAACACAAAAGGTAAGAAAAAGTATTTAGCAAGGACAATTTTACGTGAGTATTTTCCAATTTTACTTAATTATAATATAAAAATTTATATTGAGTATTCATAGTTTAAACCGGAAGTGATGTGATTAAACAAATTATATTTTATTATTATATCAAAATTAAGTCGGTGAAGTTAGTGTTCCAAAATTGCATAAAGTGGTTCGGTTGATCTACATATAAGTAAATAAGTTTTCCTCTTAATTACCGACTTTGAAATCTCAAAGTTAAAATTAAATATTTAATTTGTGGACATGTTTTAACAGAAGGATTGTTTACGGTCAAATTTCCTTTACAGTTCTTTGTGAAATTTGTAAAGAACTCGTTTTGAAATCCTCCTCACAGTAGGTATATTATATTGTACAATTAATATTAAAAAGCGGTATCGTCACGCGTATACGCCTAATCAATTCATTACTAAGAATATAAAAAAGTATTAATATTCGTAAATACTACAGATGTTTGTTGTCGACAACAACAATTATGAGAAACATATAACAATTGTTATTACAATAAAATAAAATTATTTATAAATCTTAAATTACTTTAAATAAGTTTTATTTTCAACTAATTATTTATTGCAAGATTTCTTCGACTAACGACATTTGTTGTTGTAGCTCAGCTTAAAGTCCCACCAGTCTTTTGGGAGCCTTTCAAGCTGAAACTACACAATGATTACAATAACAAGTAACTACTAATGTCACTTATCACGTTTTGAGTGCTTTTATCGCATAGCGTGGAAGTCATTAAGTCCAACGTATTCGATTTATTGTTTTCGTGTGTGAATATTAAAGTTCTGTGAATCATAAATGAAAGGGAAATAAAAAAAATAAATTGAACGCATTTCAGACACAAATAGTTTTTTGTAAATAACACAATATATAAAACTGACTTCATACGTAATAACATGTATTTTATTCATAGGTAAAGATGCTGACAAAGTAGCTGAAAGTACTGCAGACTCTATTGTTAGCGGAAATGCAAAACGTAAAAGTTCGAATAAAAAACCAACTCTTAAGGAGTTGCCATTTGATCGTCAAATTGTTGCTACAAAGTTAGCAGCTGCTTTAGTTCTACAAGGTCGGGATGATGTTTCTACAGAAGATATGGATAAGTTAATTTTCATATTTCTTCTTATGGTGAAATTATCGAAAGCCAGGTATGAACTTGATGGCCAACCTTTACGCATAAAGAATATATTGCCGGAGTTGGGAATAATGATACATAAACCAGAAATTCCTGTACTTGCTGGACTCGTAGATGAATTTCTTGAAAAAGAAGTTAGTGCTTTGGTTGATCAGGTTGAAGATGAAATATCGAATGATACTTCAGAGAAAGACTCAAAAGTTGATGCTAATAGTAGTATGCTCGAATCCCTAACTGATTCCGATTTACAAACGTTATTGCAAAACTTCAAACATTTATCTGTTGAAGAGCAACATCATCTAATAGCCCATCTTAAAAAGCTGGAAAATGCTGATCCCGTTCGTGTTGAAAAATTACGAAAATATGTTGATTTAGGTGATTTGGGAGATGAACCATCTACATCTAAGAACGCTGAAATGAAAAAATCTAGCTTAAATGCAACGGCACCCACTAAGAATGTAAATACAAACGCTTTTCGTAATTCACCTTCTGCTTCGACTAGCAGTGATACTCGAAAATTTTTCGAAGATGATAATTCAAACGATAGACGTCGTAATAATAATGTTATAAATCCAAATAAATTTAGTCTTGATGATGAAGACGATGATGATGATTACAATTTTGAAGACGTATTTAAAGCTGTCTCTAATAATGTTAATCGAACAAAAGAAGATGATAAACGATCATCCAATGATGATAAAATTAAAAAACCAGATAATGAACCAATCGTACCAGTATCATCGTCACCAAACGCCCTAACATTTAATCCGGCCGGCTTAAATATATCTCTGAGCGATACTCATAATTTGATTGCAAATCTAATGGGTTCATTACAACAAAGCAAATCAAAAACGCAAAATCCAAATACTAATACAAAAGGCAATGAACTGAAATCAGGCACAAGTTCCTCAAGTACACTTGTTCAACAGCACCAGCTCCAACAAAAGCAACTTCAACAACAACAGCAACAACAACAACAGATATCTTCACAGGATATGCACCAACAGCAAATGAATCCGCAAATGAATCCGCAAATGAACCAACAACAATTGAATCAACAAATGAATTCGCAAATGGGACAAAACAATATGCAGCAATACTATCAACAAGGTTTCAGTGGTTATAATAATATGATGAACCAGCAACAACCAAACTCATATATGGGAAACTATAATGGAAATGCTATGGGTAACTATAATACTGCTGGGTACTCAGGTTATCAGCAATGGGGCAATAATCAAGCGATGCCCAATATGCCGCAATTTCCATCCAATCAGAACTATGGACAAGGCCAAATGCAAGCTCAACAGCAGGGTTACAATATGTACGCACGTAATGGAAATTAAAGAAATAATTAGTTAGGTTTATAGTTATATATAGTAACTAAAGTTCATTAACATTTACGGCTATGTATAGATTTGTTTTATTTTGCTTGGTTTTTTTTTTTTTGTTCACTTACCTTTAAGATATTGCATAATCCTATTTATGAGTAGGCAAAACATAGTTACAAAATAATTCAAAGCTAAAGTAAATGATTAAAGATAATCATGATAACTCCAAACTATTATGATTTGCTTAGTTTACCTAAACATTCACTTAATTATTGTATTGTATTTTGTGCTTGGATTATATACCTTCAAGGTGTAACATAAATTTTTTAATAAGTTATTTATGAAACGATTAAATAAATTGTCGAAATGCTGATGAAGTATGCAACGTTATAACCAATTTGGAATCAATTCAGTTTATCAGCAGCTTAAAAAAACATTCAAAGCATTGTAAATACAACAACAACAAAATATAAACAACAACAAATGCATGAAAGCAGAACGAAATTACGAATAATTTATAGTCTTTATTTAAGAACCAAAAACCAGTAAAAACAATCATTTTTGAAATATATATATATATATATATTACTTTTTTTTCTTTTCGTTTTTTTTTTATAATTATTAACACAAATAATAAAAATTAAAACTTGTAATGTTTATAATTACAATTATAAATGATGAATATTACTATTATAAGTAGGATTCTTATTGTTAATTACTTATGATTTACAATAAATTCAAAAGTAATTAAAATTGTTCTTTAAAAATACTGCTAACTTAATAAAATTAAAAAAAAAACACATGTATTATAAGTAAATTTAAATTACATTTATGATAATACTTATTATTATTAATTGTTATTTTTCGAACGTTACTAGCAGTAATAATTTATCTGATGATCCTAGTAAAACGTACTTTAAACAGTTGATTATGGAGAAATACAGGAATCATTTATAAATATTGGATTGGTAAATGTGTCTAAATTTGATTTAACTATGAGTCAAAATGAATATTAAACTAATCTATCTTCGTTAGATTTAGAGATTGTATTTTATCAAATATAAAAATAATTTTTAATAATAAAACATTAGTTACTGATAATTCAAACTAAAAAAAAGAAATTATTCACAACCGATTTTCGGTTTTGGCCTCCTTCAACTTCTGAAGAAACTCCTCTTCACCAATTCCAATTGTAAGCCATAGTCACTTGTTTTGGTTCCCACGTCAGTGTGAACGAAATCTCTGCTGACCACCGTAAAAAATGTTTATAGAGAATTCAATTTTTTACACAGCCTACCTAGCTTAATGTTATCATTGCTTAACTATATGTCACGTATAATACGTGATTGTACTGACTCGAAAATCGCCTACCCTTATATACTTTTTTAATAGGAATATTGGTAAAGAAGTTTTTCGAACAGTAGTGAACTACAACAACAAAAATTCATTTTATACTATTTTAATTAATTGAATTCTTGACTGACCATACAGCTGTTCCGAGTATTGCCAAATACCCAGCATCCGTGGTTTTGGAAATAATTCTTGTATTTAATTATTCGTAAATAATTTTTTGAGACTGCAAGTACTAGAAATCGAAGTCGTGTCCTGCCAAATTTGAAGCTCATAGTCAGCGCACTTTAACCAACTGACCCAAAGCCGTACTTGACAAAAGACTAGAAAAATATGCGAGTAATATTTTTCTAGACTTTTGTTAAATATTAGTTTAATTTCAATATTTTTTTTATTTATATAGTTTTTTCCTAGCAGCATCGTACCGCCAAGAACATCGTCTTTACTACGATTATGCGCATGGTTTCATTTTCTGCCATAAGAACAACTGGAATGGTGTAAAGGATCAGAGTAGCGGGAAGGATATTCATTAATTAAGTTGTATCAATTACAATTATATAACTAAAAACCTTAAAAAGGAGTAAATTAATTAATGTTGCTATATATATATTTCAAAAATAACTTATTTAAAATACTAATAGAAATATTGTTAGAATTTAATGGAGACACAATCTGGATGTGATAAATAATTTATATTGCAGGAAAAATCTACTTTATAATGGTTGGATGTCAAATGAAAGTTAATTTGTAAGTATCTAAATTTAAGCGTTTATATTATTTAAAATTTCAGCTAATGTAAGATAAATAATATTTTATAAAATCCATTGGACTAATTAGTTTAACCATTAATTTATTAAGTTATTAAAAGTTATTGTGTTTTATTTCTCTTTTCTGAGTCAAACTTCCTACCAAATCAATGTTTCTAACGATACGCATGCCTCTTTTTAATGAGTAATCAACCACATTTTGTCATCAATGATTCCAAAGTGTAAATTCAACTGCTCCTCTGAAGCCATAAAAAAATTATTTTGAAAAAATCTCGAACGGATCGTTAAAAATGTTGATATTTCTGACTGGAGAACTTGAGTGTGGAACACTTGCAGCTGTAAAAACTGAACAACTTATATATAAGTCAAAGTATTAAGATATGACTGAAGCGAAAATGGGGTCAGTGATATTACTCCTTCAAGTCTTGGCATGTAGAGGGGTCGGAATCTAAATAAACAAACCGATTTTATTACAGCCAAAATGTAATAATTAATTTTAATAAATATTGCAATTCAATATACTCTTAAGTGTTTTTCTTTTCGGATATTCTATTTGCTGGTGTCATTAATTTTATTTTAAAAGAATGCTATATTTATTATGGATATGAGGTATTTAGCAAAGTTCATCATTTTTTGTGTTATTTTGCTTTAATAAAATTATTATGTATATAATAATTAACAAAAATATATATGTACATTTGCATTATAAATAAAATTTAGTTAGTGTCCAAATCTTCAGGTCGAACTGTTTGATTACATGGAACAATCGATTTTTTTTCAACATCACGTGATAAAGCTTTTCTCATTTCTGCAAAGTAAATTTATTTATTTATATATTTATGAATTAATATATATATTTAAACAAATTTTATTAACCATAAGCATCTTCCTTCTCATTGCAATAATACTCTAATATGGTTCTATAAATTATATATCCCAAGTTTTTATACATCTTAATTGCCACTTCATTACTTTTGCGGACGAATAAATCCACAAAATATGCACGTTTTCTGTTAAATTTAAATATTAGGAACATAAGATAAAAACATTTTTAAATGAAAATACTTCTCAAAAACAATTTCCACCAAGTTCATTAATGTTGCAGCCAATCCTAAGCGTCGATAATCTGCAGAAACGGTCAACGCAGTTACATGGCCATGCCAGTTGTCCATAAATCCCTCCGCTTTGGCTAAAACTAATTAAAAGTGTCAATTTATCAAAACTTTTTCGTTCACAATTAATATTTAAAATAATTCTTCATAATTTTGAATACATACTATAACCAATAATTTGTCCATTGGGTGATTCGATGACTAGTAAATACTCTGGCCACATTGCTAAATAGTGTGTGTACAATGGAAGACTGTAAGTTTCTGTCAACGGATCAAAATTGCTAAAAAGAATTTGTTGAGTGAGATGGATATTTATCAAATTTATTTCTTACACATTATTAATTTTAAAAAGATCATCACATTTTAAAGATCGTAACGTTGTCATAATAAAGCAGTTATTCAAACCGTATAGACCTACTATATTTAATCCAATAGTTAATTCTTCTAATAATGCAGTGCCGACTTTCAATTAACTGTAAATTTTGCTGTTTTAATTTAAAATACCTTTTTATTACAATGACACTGTTCTATCATGTATATGATAGACTAATTTGTAATTTGGAACTAATTACTTATATCCTAAACAAAACAAAATTCATTATAAAACGTTTCTAATATTTGTAAGAAAAGTTTTTAGATCAAATTTTAATTCAAGAAAAACTAAATACTAGATTATTCTCATCGTAATAAAGATATAATGATCATATCAATTAAATATTATAGTTCCCAAACTAAATGGGTGGTTCGTCCTTTCGGTAGAAAAAATCTGAAAGGTTACCTTACAATTTAATCTGCATTATCATCTCAACAAGATAAGTATGTCAAAGGTGAATAAAAGTAGTCTCTGTCTGGAAGGAAATGTTATATAGGACGTGTGCGAGTTAGGATTAGTTGATGATAAACCAAATGGGAGATTTTATGCACTGCACACATTTAGCCATTTATCAACACGTTTTGAGACATCACTACATTATCGGCACAACTTACAATTTCCCTCATTTAGAACACATCTTAGCCTAACTCGCACACGTCCTTAGAGTCAAATTCTAGGCTGAGAGCTTCTATCCCAGTCTGATATTAGGAAATTTTTAACAAGAAATAATATGAACAAAAACCTGAATATCGTCTTATAAGTTGAAATTAAAAATTTAATAAAAGTATGCTGTATTTTGGTAACATATATATTCAATTTGAAATTTATACACTACAGAGGAGAATCGGGATCACCAGATAGATTACATAATTAGTATTATTTCTTCTACAATAAATAACTAATATTCAATCCTGAAATTAGAACAAAACCTACTATAATAACATAATTATAATAGAGATTTAAAGACTTCAAGTAGTAGTAGAGTAGGCAGGCTTGGATTAAAAAATTTGGATCAAACGTCTTAAATGTTTGAAAGTATGCAGTCTCTCGACGATGTTCGAACTGCGTATTTGGACATAAAAATGACCCATTTGTAGTTATCCGCAAAATTATAAATATTTACGATATTTGCTTCGCTAATAACTGTTATCTCAAAATATTGCTTTCTGTGCTCTTTTAAGACAGCACACCTACCCAAGAAATGTCCTAAATCTTCGACTTTTCCAGTATTACAGAAAGAACACGTGCCAGTTTCAAGTTGACCAAAATTATTACCATTTAGGCAAAGCTCGGATCTCACCTTAATTATCCACATAATTTTAGTAATACCAAAATTGAGATATTTTTGGCTAGTAGTCTGATCAATTTCTTTATATATGCGTGTGACGCTGCTCTTTTCCCAGAACGTACAGTTGTTGCTGTTGTAGTAAGACGCTGGGACCTGTCATTCGGGGGTTGCTGAATGGCACTTGGTCGTCGACGAGTGGCTCCGAGACGTAGACCCGGACGTTCTTGGAACCGGTACATTAAAAATATATACTGGTGTTTTTTTGTGTGTTTTATTCTAATTTTAAGAACTATTGTATTATAAGGAAAAAAACCTATTTCGCAAAATTAATATAAAATCTACAATCTCAAGTTACTTTTGAAATTGTAATCGCTTTACAGAAACACAAACTTCATGATAGAGGACATATTTTCTAAAATATAATGACTGGTCCTTCTGGAAACGAGTAGATCTGCTCTGGTGATTGAGTAACGCAGAATTTTATTTGGTAGTTAGACCAATTTACAATATTTAAAAGATTACAAAGTCAATTTATATAAAAACTGAATAAATATAATTTGAGTATGAAAAATAGTATATATAATATTATAAAATTTAAACTACGTAATTTTAAGACTACGAGCCTACAACAGAGGTATGATTTAACGATTTTATAAAATCTAGGTAGAAATTATAAATGATCCATTATGGCTGCACAAAAACTCATTAAAATTAGTTCTGCTTTAGTTACATTTTAGTGAAATATATGGACGACAAGCAAGCGCTTATTTGGTGAAATCTTTTTTGTTCTTGCCTGTTTAATAAGAATAACAATTATTAAACTCAAGGTCTATGCAATGAAAATCCCTCAAATAAATTTACCTCTCATCACAATAATTAAACAAAGTAATAAATGATGAATATGGACTTATAATAATTCATACTACGAATTCTACAGCGTTAGAAATTATTCTCCAATTTTAAAGTAAAACAATGAACAATTATTTAAATGAAATACATCCTAAACCATATTTAATGTTTCTTCTCTCTCTTTTCGATATTGCATATTTCGAAGTAATAATTTTAAGTGATCATTCGTTTTGAAGTCTGAAAAAAAGAAATAAATAAATTAGCATACAAAAATGTAAATAATTATAAATCGTATATCTATATGTTATTTACCTTTTTGCTTTGAAAGGATTATTATTAGATTTAGAAACTAGTAGGAAACTAAAAGTACTATAATGACTTGAAAGAGATTTAGCAGTTTATAGAATATCTATATGTTGTGCCAACAAGAGTATGGTTTTTATTGTTCCAATTAAAAATGAATAACAAAATATAAATATGGGCGTATAAAACATAGAAAAAAAATAAGTAAATTTAGACCAATAGAAAATCTAGACTTATATGTTAGCACAATTCACAAATACATGCAACACATGTGAAATAAATCAAATATTAGTTCATTTCCAAGTCTTCAGGTCGTACTGGTTGCGTATGCGGTATAATGGATTTTTTTTCAACATCGCGTGATAATGCTTTTCTCATATCTGCAATATAAATAAGCACATTAGATTGATAAAGAAGTATATGTTATTAACTAACCATAAGCATCCTCATCTTGTTCACCAGAATAATACTCCAATATAGTTCTATAAATTATATAGCCCAAGTTTTTATACATGTTAATTGCTACTTGATTACTTTTACGAACAAATAAGTCTACAAAATATGCACGTTTTCTGTCAATTAAATAAAAATTAAGAAACATGATAAAATTAAAATGAAAGTGAAATACTTCTCAGAAACATCTTCCAGAAAATTCATTAACGAGCCAGCCAAACCCAAACGGCGGTAATCTGGCGACACAGTTAAAGCAGTTACATGACCATGCCAACTTTCCATATGACCCTCCACTTTGCCCATAACTTAAATGTAAGAACAAATTAAACATAGATAACCCATTTACAACACATATAATATATTCCAATTTACTCACTATAACCCATAATCTGCCCGCTAGGCGATTCAGCAACTTGAAAATATTCTGGCCACCTTGCTAAGTATTGTGTGTAAAATGAAAGGCCATAAGTTTCTGTTAGCGAATCAAAATTACTGAAAATAAATATAAAAATATAATAAATTAAACTCATATGTATTAAATTCATATCATACACATTATTGAATTTGAATAAGTCGTCACAAGTAAAAGGTCGTAACGTTGTCATACTGTAATGAAATGTGTATTAACAATGTAGCAGGCAACAAATGATATTAGATAATTAAGTCCCGTGCAGCACTGAAGTTTAATACTCTATATAACTAATATATATTTAAATATTATTTTATGATTTATTTTATAAAGTTATTCTACGGACACTGGTGTATTTATAGTTTTACAATGTACGCGAAAAGGTTATGTTAACTCTTTTAGGCTGACCATGTTCAATATTGTTGAATCATTAATTGAACATTTCGGCTAATAACGGTTTAATTTAATAACATTTTTGTACAATTCTTCGTAAGAAACTAATAAAAATATATACAAAAAATTTAAATGGATATCTATTATTCTCAAATGTGGAAAATTCATTTTCGTTTGCAATTTATTCATGTTATAGTGGACGTTCAGTGAATACGCCAAGATTTTTTAAAATATTTGTTTTGAAGACATACTTATTTAAATTAATATTTTTTTTCTTTTTTTTTGAACTTTTTTAATTTAATTTAATTGCATATCAAATTTTCCAAATATTTTGTTTTACATATGGTAATTTTCAAAGGGTTTCATCACATTAACCTGTCCGGTATGCGTGTTTGTGATTTTTATAGAAAAGGTGAAAGAAATAAAATTTTACCTATATATAAGCCATGAAACCAAGAGAGGATCGACACGCGTTCACTTACAACTTTTGAATTTGTTCTAAGTAGCAATTACACCGATAAAATAATAACTGTTTTTAGAATTGATCGTAATATTTTAACATGCAAGAAAACATGAAAGCCTTGTCAATGGAAATAATGAAGTTAGTAAATTGACACAAAGTTTTTTACATTCAAGCATTGTTTTTCTTTATGAAATATAGACAAAAGCGCATTCTATACTTGTCAATGTGAATATTTAATATAAATTTCACATGCTCCTTGCGCAAAAACAAGTTTTTATTTTATTTTCAAGTTTTTATTTATTCGAAATTCGAACATTTGGTGACATTGAAATATCGAAATTATGTGAATTTCAATTGTGGGCATTTATCGCGGATTTTGTGACGGAGCGAATTTAGCTTAACATACTAGAAAGGCAATATATTGTACATGTACTAACATAAATTTAACAATAGAAATTAAGATAAAACTATATAAAAAAATTCTTTAACATATTTTGACTTATAAATTGTTCATGAGAATATCAGAATTAAAACGAAGCACGTATATGCAACATACGCGCAAACCGATAGCAACATATTTTTGTTGTTTTATAATATTTAAATTGTACATATATCTTAAATAATTGTACGTATAACAATAATAAATATATGAGTTCATTTGTGTTTTGTAATTATAGTTTGTGAATTTTAAACAATATAACAAATTTTACATCACTTAGTTTTTTGCACAAAATGCCTGTTACTAAATATAAAGAACAAAGTAATAGAAAAATTGTAACCGACGAATTCATTCGGTGTAATTTGGTCCATAGTGTTGTTGAATTCGGATATATGATATTTTTAAATTACATTTCTATCGTACTTAAAATTAGAAAATAAGTGCAATTATAATACTGTGAACCTATTTTACATAGCAAATGCTTTATATTATATATATTAGCAAATGTTTATACTGTGAGAATATATGGACGAGATTAAGTAACTCTACATTTTTAATCTACACCGTTTACATAATATAAATTTAATAAATTGTTCTTCAACAAAAATTTATTAAATTTAAATTATAATTATGTATAAGACTATTATTAAACAAATTTAATTAAAATTTCAGCAACTTCGGAACTTTCAATATTTGTTTTAAATAGATTTTGACATTTTATTTCCAAATCTTCTAACATCGTAAAAAGTGTACGGTATTAAAACATTTGCAAAGTAGCACAGAAAAATAATCACCATTTCTAACGAGATTAAAAATTAATCTTGACCAAAAGAAGATTGACTTTTGTATGGGATATCTGAGATTAAATAACGAGATTAGTACTTTAATATCGACTATTGCTTTAATCTTTTTATTTTGTTTAATATTCGATTTTTGGCGTTTTCGTATCGCATAATGAAAATATATATATATCGTAAGATATTGCGTCGTACAAATTATATATTATTTTTAAATTCAATCAATATCGTAAAACATTATATTGTACTTACCATATATTATTTTTATTTTCAATTTAAATATATCATAATTTGGATTATTAATAATATAATTAAAATATGATAAATGTATTATTTTATTTATCTTGATTTATAAAATTATCAAGAACTTAGGACGGTTTATGAATATAATAATTACAATACATATATTAAAAATACATATATGTTATATGTAATAACAAAAATGTGTTATATTTTTTTATATTATTTTCTAAAACGATTATTTATTGGACGCATAATTTTTAATTCAAATTAAACAGAATGTAATACTTGTATATAATTTTTATAGCTTATTTTATCTTCTTAAAATTTAAATAATCAACCATGTGTTGCTATAGTCTTTTCGTTTTCTAAAGATGGCGCCTTTTGTTGCGCCGGTATTTGTCAAATATTTCTGTTGCACTCACACTTTAGCTAAATTTTGTCTGTAGTTCGTAGTTGATTCGTGTGTTGAAAAATTCGTCGTGTGGCGTTAGTATTTTAAAAACAAATTTTTTGCGCTATAATTATTATATTAAAATAAAATATTGAACATAATCAGCAAGTTTATAAGTTTAGTTAATTACTTGGGAGTGCAAATGAGTCAAAGTGTCAAAATTGTGTACAATACAATACAAACGGAAAGTAGGACAAACGTAACAAGCAAGCAACGAATACTGGATATGACAATATAAGCTAAATGTAGTGAACAGCTAGAAAAGTGTATAAAATGATGGAAAAAGTTTTCAATTTAAAAACGATTAAGTTGAAAACGTGTTGAAGTGTTATATCTAAAATAATGTTATGAGATAATAATATTATATTCAAGCATTATAATAAAACCACAAAACTATAAATTAAAACTATGTTTATTACAGAATAAACAGTGTTGTTGAGAGTGAGTTCGTTGACGGGCCTTATTATTTATTTATATAGTTTTATATTAAATTGTTAACAAATAAAAATTGCAGTTAAAAATATGAAAATAAATAATGTGTTCTATATAATTATTTCACAGACTTTTATATAATAATAGGTAAGTTTATAATAAAAACTCGATTAACATATTCTTATTGTAATCTTTGCCTGGGGTAAATATGTAATTATTCTACCACCACCAGCATAATTTCCCCTACTTCATTGCAATACATAAAAAATCTCATATATGACAGAAATAATACACATATAAAAATAAATAATTTCTAACATTATATAAAAAATATTTTAAATATTTTTATTACAATGTAAAAATTTTAAGGAGTTTTAAATTACAACATAAAAAACCCATAATTAAAACACATCACTTATCTTCTCAGTTATAGCAATGTTCTTAAAAAATTAATAATAATGGAATTATAATATATTTCATAAGGTTACCATAAAGTAATAGTAATAGTAATAAACATTACTCTTAATATGAAATAAATTTATTTTAATAAATAATCGATAATACTTTTAAAATATTAGAAAAATAGAAAGAAAAATAAAAATATTCCCAGGTTAGTCTCTAAAAAATGTTGATATCATATTTTTATCTTCGTTGTGCTGAACTTCTTGTATATAGTGTAGTTGTAATTTAAATTTTTTAATATTTATTAATATTTAATATTATTTTAAATCAAATCCTTTGTCTGTGGAGTAGTTGCTGAGAAAAAATCATGATTCAAAAATATATTTTATTATTATTAGTCTAAACATTTTAATCCAAAATATTTTAATCCAGAACACTGCTTGTCTTTGCAACACAAATAAACAATTATTCAAAAAAAAATTTTGAACTAAATATATATATTTTTTATATATTTTATATGCTCATTTAATACGTCGATTTTTGTATATTAGGGTTTCAATTTATGTTCTCATAATCCTTTTGTTTTTTTAAATACGTATAAATCTTAAAAAAGTTTACTATAAAATACACGAAAATAGACAACTGAAATAATATTTTTGTTTTTGGGAATACGTTGATAAAGACACAGGAATAATTTCAAAGATTTCGGACGATTCTGACATTTGTTTCTTAGACTTTTTTAAAATGGATCTATATAACCGAGTGCTCTGATCTCTATTATGGTATAATAGTACCGACAAAATACTGATGAAGTGACCCGTTAGTGAATTTACAACACGACAAACTTCGTTAAGGGGAACGGTTGTAAGATTACTTAAATGCCATTACACTGTGGATTTGTTTAGTGTGTTATTAAAAAGCACATAAGACAAACTTAAGAAATAATGAGGTTTATCTTCTGAAGTGCACTACTTATCTAGCTTATCTTCTTTACGGAAACACAAAGACTATGTTCGGAAATCAAAGAACTATTGACATACTGACATTAGATGACATTTTTTGAGTCAGTTATCATTATCTTAAGTGTAAACTAGACGTTCGTTAGAGATGTAAATGCCGACTATAATCCAATCGACTATAATCCATAACATAATTACAATATTACAAATTCACAAGTTAAGAAATATTGTATCTTCATGAATAGTAGAAATTCTGCCTCAAAAACATTGCAATAGTTTGGGAGCTTGGTAAACTTTGATATGTTATTGTTGAATCGTATCAAAAAATTTGTTTTTTAAAACCATATTTACTTATGTGTAAATATTTTAAAAAAACCAAAATTTGTCATTACCATCAACAAAACTCAAGCTATATTAATAATAAAAAAACAACCAACAAATAAAATTTTGATAGAATTGATTAAAGCGGTCCCACGTGTGAAGAAAAAATATGTATGCTACGGGCATACTTCACAACCACAATGATTGTTATTATTTGTTATATAAACACAAAAAAAAACTAAATAAACATATTACGGTTTTATACTATTTGGGAATATTCCGTAAAACAGAATGCAAAAATTAAAAAATTCCGCAAAAGAAATTTGTTACTGCCCATGGTATAAAAAAAAGTACAGATACAATCGGTATATATAGTCGGTATATATAGATTAGGATAGATTAATTTGGCTGTAATTCAGGCATAGGCCTATTGGTTCCCAGCAATACTGGTATCTGGATACAGTTGAACCTCTATATATATATTGTAGTAGGTATTTTTTTT